TGACAGTTCGATCGGATATTCCAGTGTGTTATCCTAGTAGCAATGTAGCCTTGGGCCCATAACTTCCTAACCAAAAGTGCAAAAAGCAGTTCAGTCTAGAGTAAAGTACAGATGAATATATAGAAAATAATATTGCATTCATTAGATATGTACAGTATGAAAAGTGTACGAATACACAAAGATATGTACTGTATGAACAGTTCAGGTATAAGTATAAATATACAGAATAAACACCTGGAAACAAACTTTGATGTATACAATTGGTGGAGTTCTTCTTTAAGCACAGGCCAGAAAAAGTCAAGATGTCATGATACATTCTTGATACTCAGTTCAATATTGCCATTTATATACTGGTACCAGCAGTGGCGGGCCGTGCATTTTATACCTGGGCCTTCAGTGCTGCACTGCAGCTGAAACACCACCTAATAGTCTCATTATGACACACAAGCTACGGTTATTTGTTTCTATTGGTCTAACAATACACGTATTCGTATTAAACCGTTCGGTACGAGGCTTACGAACCGAACAATACGTTTGAATAATACTAGTGCATTTGGAAAATGCAGAAGCTTAAATTGTGGGAAATATAATGTTTTCGGTGAACTGCGCTCACCTCTGAACCTGGAGCAAAAAAAAACAAAACAAAATACAGCTGAGGCACCGCACTTTTGGGAGGCTACGCTAAACTAGCTTAACAAACAATAAGTCCGCGCATGACGGTATGCTTCGTAATTAACGGACAATGCATATAGTCAAAATCAATATAATTAACACAATGACAACAACAAACACAAGAACCAGTCACATATATTCATATGACAACAGAGCAACAAATCAATCCAGCAGACCTGCAGCGGAACACCTACACACTCAAGGGTCATTCAGATATTAGATGTAAAAGAACAAACGCAGTTGACTTAAAGACAAACTCCATCCTCCTTTCTTTGTTGACAAAGAGTTTAATCCCACGGTTAAATCCCAACTCACAAATGCGTTTTTCCTCCTTCGGCCATTGAGTGTTAAAAAACAAATAATCTACACCAAGCAAAATGCAAAAAAATTCATAATTTCTTCCATATCTTTCAATTTGAACTGTTACTACTCTGACTAAGCCTCTGATGGCTACTTTAAGTTTCGTTTCACAATAGTCACGTGCTCGCCCACTGACCAATCACAGCGCACGCTGCACCTTACTCCAGTGCTGCACCTTAAAACTGAGCTGCCCGTTAATGCTGACATACTTATAGGCCAGCTAGAAGGCTCTAGCACGTCAAAGAATACGCCCAACATGTCAAACTAAAGATCTGATTGGTTGAACACTGACAATCAACAATATCATCCCCATTCACTTACTGCAAAGGGATTCACTTGTGAGTCTGCAGGCCTCGGGTCTCGCTTTTTACCTAGAGACACAGAGGTGAAATCTGATTGGATGAAAGCTCTACTTAAAACAAGCTGCACTGGAAGCAGAGCAACTGAGGAAGACAGGAGCTGTGCAATGGGATAATAAGATAATGGGAAAATTATTTTATAAATTACAATACATGTAGTGTATTTAAGAAAAATTATTAAATGATAAAATAGCTATAGCTTTGTGATTCTGTTTAGGCCAGCAGAGAAGGCCTTGCAGGCCCTGACGGCCCACCACTGGGTACCAGTAAACTTCTCTTAAAAAGTGTTTTTAATCAGTCCAGACTTCAGCGTCTGTACTGTGTACGTTTTACCTCTGAGGCTTGTGCATTTTTATTCCCTGACGTGGATCACATAAACCTCAGAAACAAAACATAGAAAACATCAGAAAGAAAGAAAATAAATGACCCCCCTTGACTTCAGACTTCAGTATTAACACTATCATTCCTCCCTGCTACACTATCCTCTGCTGCTCCAGCCTTCCTGCAGCCTGGACGAATCTCACCCTCAACATTTTTGTCCTTCAAGTTGATTGATGTCTGTGTTGTGTCTGAGATGCTCTCCTGACTCCCTTTCCATATGCTCAACACAACCAAAGAAATCTGCCAGCAGTGTGTGCATACTTACAAAGGCATAGATGTGAGGAGGAGGGAGGAAGGTTTCAGAGGATTTGGAAATGTTTTGTCATCACTGTGGCCAGGGACCTACTGCTCAGAGACTTGTCAAAGTAGTTTTGACAGGCTGGGTGTGATTGTTATGATTACGTAAAATATAGAGGTGCTTGAAAAGCTGTTAGAAAACAACACATTTATTGTCCCTTTGCATGTGAAGAGAATTTGAAGTGATTTTCAAGGCATATTCCTCCCCTGAAGCAGATATCTATACCACCTGTCGAGAACCACATTTAAACTGACTGGTGTAAACAGCCATGAAAATAATTATCACAATTAATTAAAAGTGATTGGATTCTGTGGGAACTTCATAGTGTTACGCCAAAGGGCACTGACATACAGAACTGACATTTTAGCCATCAGGAGTCACTGCATGTTTTCTGTAGGTTTTGCGGTGTGTCTAGCACCTTTGGCTCTAATCAGCTCCAGTGGCGGCTGGTGGAAAATTTTCTAGGTATGCCTGTGCCACATCCAATCAATTTAAAAAAAATTAAGGTATCAAACATGCATTACTACTTTGCAGTTAAATATTTAATATCCTGTGGGCAGATTCTCCAGCGCCCCAGAGCTGCTGATACATGCAGACAGGCAGAGAGGATGTGGAGGAAAAGCATATATTTTGCGCAGATATCATATTTGACAAATATTACTGGGTGCATTCCATATTTCAAAAACACAAATATTGACAATTTGTATAATTTTTTTGGCTCAAGGGGGGGGGGGGGGGGGGGGGGGGGGGGGGGGGA